CCCTCGGATCAGATGGCTGGAGGATGTTGAGGACGATCTGAGGCTGCTGGGCGTTCGAAGATGGAGGGAAGTAGCACAAGACCGTGGAGATTGGTTGGCTGTAGTAGAGGAGGCCCGGGTTCTTGCAGGACCGTAGCGCCATTATAATAATAATAATAATTATACATATATATATATATATATATATATATATATATATGTGTATAATTATTATTATTATTATAATTATTATTATTATATATATATATATATATATATAAACAGTCGGTCAAAAGTATTGCAACACCCATAATTCTTGAGATTTTATTGGTTTTTGCCTTAATCCATACTTTGTGTATATTTATATTAATATTATTTATAAAATAAGATACATTAGAACTTAGACACATCATTGTTATTCACTGTTTACCAACAAACGATAGAATTTTAATTTATTCATTTCAACCCATGTTTATCTTTCATTTGCCTCAAGTCTGCTCTCTCTTTTCTCTTTAGTCTAGTTATAAAAACTAATTTTATTCACAATGAATTGTTTGAGCCACGATGATTCGGTCAGAATCATCGCTCTCTCTGAAGAAGGCAAATCATTGCGTTATATCGCTAATCGCTCTGGGATTCACTATTCTTCCGTTTCAAGGGCCATAAAAAGGTACAGAAAAAGTGGTAGTCATTCGAAGTGACCAACGTCAGAGCGTAATACTACTCCCATAGATGACCGCTTGATCAAAATGCACGCACTTCGGAAGCGTAATTCTACAGCTTCTTCCATTAAAAACTTGATCGCTGGTGTTCGAGGGATATCAATCTCTGAGTCAACGGTCATTAGAAGACTAAGAGAGTCAAACCTCAGCTTATGAAGGCCAGTGAATGGTCCTATCCTCACCGTAGAACACCGCGTAAAGAGATTGAGATTTGCGAGAGAACACTAATCTTGGACTGCGGAGGAATGGAAAAAAGTTGGATTCACTGATGAGATGAGAGTGGCCCTTAACAGACCAGATGACCGTGAAAGAGTTTGGAGAAGAAGCCTGGAGAACGGTATAGTAAGTGCTGCATGTTAGAAACTGAGCCATTTGGGAGGGGGTGGGGAGGGGTTTTATCATGTTCTGGGGCGGCATATTTTGGTAGGCGCGTACCGAGTTAGTGTTAATCCAAGGAGGGGCCTTGAATGCTTTCAGATATGTAGAAATGATTTTCCAAGATCATATTGTGCCTTTTATGCCGTCCCTACTAATGAATAGAGCCTATGCTCTGAATAGTTGCTCATGGATGATAATGCCCGTCCTCACATGACAAGATGTGTTTCTGACTACCTGAACACCACAAATATCCTGGGTTCATGACCGAACTATTTGAAGGTTTTTTTTCCATGGTTTCCAGCATTGGTGGCACCTTAATATTTTCTCTGATCCATTCGTTTCGAATACAATCTCTTCTAGTTCAGCCAGCTACTCTTCTCAGATATTTCATTTCGGCAGCGGTAAGTCTACTTTTGTGCCTATCTAGAAGGACTCACCTCTCACTACCGTACAGTAGGGTTGGAAGGTAAAGTGTATGGTATATATGGATCTTAGTTATATTTTCCACCTGTTGTTTTCCTAAGATCGTGTTGCAGATCTGATAATAGATGCCATTTGCTTTTTTGATCCTGTTTGATATCTCTTGTTCTATTTTTCCATTTCTACCAACAACTGTACCTAGGTATGTACATTCCTCTACCAACTCCAGATTCTTACTCCTACATTTTATTTGTATGTCTTCGATTTCTAGACCTATCTGTACAATCTTACTTTTTGCTTCATTTATGATCATACCTTTTCTCTCAAGTTCAGCTTCCCATTCCACAATCGCTTGCTGTAATTTTGCGGATGAGTCTGTCATGAGGACAACATCATCTGCGTAAACGTGGGCTTGGGCTAGAATTGTTCTCATATTCCATCTTCCTATAATTATTCTTCCAGTCCTACGTTTAGAGATTTTCATAATCTCATCCATAAACACAATATATAGTAGGGGGCTGAGACTGTCGCCTTGTTTGACCCCTTTGTCCATATTAAAGCTGTTTGATTCCTTCCCATTGATCCTTACTACACCCTTAGAATCTTTATATGTCGATTTTATTACTCGGATAAAGTCAGTTTCCATATTTCTTCTCTTGGCACCGAATCAAAAGCTGCTTTTATATCTAAAAAGGCCAAATGCATATTTTTGTCACGTTCCCACGCTTTTTCTACAATTGTCCTTAGAGCAAAGGTGTGGTCTTGGGTTTGTCTTGATTGTCTGAAAACTGCCTATTCTCTTTCCATTTGATTTTCCACAATCTTCTCTCAAGAATCGATGTATACAGTTTGTATACAACCTGAGACAAACAGATAGGCCTGTAGTTTTGGCATTCGCTCTGACTCCCTTTCTTGAATATGGGTATAATTATATTGTATTCCCAATCCTTTGGTATCCTTTTCTCTTCGTAAACTTTTTGAAATAGAGCTTGAAGTACCCCTATTATACTTTTCCCTCCATTTTTTATGAATTCAGGAACAATGCCATCTCTCCCTGGTGCTTTTCTTGTCTTGAGTCTTTCTACAGCTGGTTCCACTTCTTCTTTCCACACAATCCCACAATGTTCAAGGTGTCGCTCGGCATCTTCTTCTTCCTCTCCTACTCTTCTAGTTTCTTCAAAGACATGGAAATAGTGCTGCCTCCATCTTCCAAGAATATCCGCATCATTAGGTAAGATTTTGCCGGATATGTATTTTATATTTCTCATAGGTTTGTATTTTTTGCCTTTTATTGCTTTGATGTTTTTCCAGAAAAATCTGGTATTTTCTTTATAGTCTTTCTGAAGATTTTGGTCAAATTATTTTCAACTTTTTCCTTTCACTGTTCGCACTACTAATTTTGTTTCATTTCTTCTTCGAACATATACTTCCCAACTTGCATCACATTTGTTTCTATTGTATTCTTTCCATGCCTGTTTCTTCCTTTGAACTGATGTCTTTACTCGGTCGTACCACCAATCAGTTCGCTTACATTTTTTTTTTTTTTAATCCCCCTTCCCGGCATTTTTGCCATATGGGGTTTCAGCAGTGCGTCAATACGTTGGGAATACGTACCGCTACTGCTGCTAATACTCTTAATAATAATACTCTTTATTTTATTTTATTTTTACTGCGGTGCGGCCCGTTCGCTTACCACCTGATGAGTAACTCTTTATGCCACATACTGAAGTTGCAGTCTGCAGGATATGCCTTTTTATTTCTGCCCATATGCTATCCACCTTCCCTTCCATGTCAATACTTTAATAATTTTTGTTCCAACTCTTGGCCGTATTTGCATTGAGTTTCAATCATGAGAAGTCGAGTTTCTTTTATGTTCTTATATTTCTTACGGGGGTTTTTCCTGGACTGAATAATTTGGGTTTCAGCAACTAATAGAATGGGGAAATCCCCAGAAGTTCAGATCCTATTTTAGCTCCTCTTATTACCTTTACACCGGTAAAAAATCTTCTTGTTTGTCTATTATAGACAAAATAGTCTATGATGCTATTTGCATTTCTTCCATGGGTGGTAAATGTAATTTTGTGAACTTTTTTATGAGTGAAGAATGAATTTCCTGATAGTAGATCATGATCAATACAGAAGTTAATAAGACGTTGACCATTGGTATTTTTAATTGTTTCTCCTCCATGTCTACCTATCACTCCATGAGCTCTGTTGTAATCACATCCTGTTCTAACATTGAAGTCGCCCATAAGTATAACATGTCTTATGTTATTTTGGGCTTTCATTACCTCAGTTGCAAGGACAGTATAGAATTATTCCTTTAATTAATCTATATGTGTGACATTATTATGTAACTACAACCAGAAGCAGTTTAAATCAAGGGGAGACCTCAGTCTAGCTATTATTTAAACTTTAACCTAAAAGCAGCCATTAAGAAATTCAGGATTAAGACATCCCACTCTATTTTCGACAAATCGGCTATGCTTTTAGACTTTTCTGATGATCTGAATATTCCCAGGTAATTATTAAGAAACATCTCAAAGTCGATCCGGCATTGGAAAATCATGAAATGGACTCTTCAAATAAAAAATAAATAGCAACTGGATAGAAAACGGAATCTGTAATAGAACCCCATATTAAATCCATACATTTTTTAAAAATTGAATTAATAACTTATTTTGAAACTACAGTAATTGCATGAAACGATCAATGAAATATACAGTAGAATCATGAAATTTAACTGCTGTTCGTTTGGGATCCTAAACTATCTATGAAGTTAGCTGATTTTGAGAATTATGTGGATCAAAGAGTACAAAATCCTGATTTGCCCTATTTGTCCTTAAATGCTATTTGTGGAGTTAACACTAGTTACAAGTCAATAAACAGGCCCTTTCCTGTCCATAAATGGGAAATCATCAGAAATCATTTATATATAAATGAAAAATAGATGGAATGAAGTAGCAAAGAACAAATCAGGAATTATACATTCTGTGGCAAAAAACCTAACAACCAAGCTGAGATTTCTTGGACACATAGTAAGATCACTTAAAATGGGATGATGATAAACCAAAAAAATTCAATTTTTGCAGTCATGTCATTCCCAAAAAAAAACGGACCAGTGAACATAAAAATTTGCATATCAGGAGCCTGCATCCAAACTATGAAAATGGCAGCTTTGGACAGAGAAACTAGCAAAAGAAAAACAATGAAGACCTTGACTCAAAGATGAGCTGTTGAGTCAATGAATGATAACAAAACACAATTTATTGCTGAATAGTCTCTCCCAATCTCCTATAAATATAAGTTTTCTGGGCAAATGGAGAGGAAAAATTATAAAGTGTAAAAGATGATTCGTTAATGCATTTGAAATATGGAACAGAAAAAAATATTTAATAATTACAGATTTAAATTTTTAAATTATACGAGGATGGAAGATTATTAAGAACAAAAAAGTACATGGAGTTTCTAAAGTAACTGATTTATAATTAACTTATATACCTGTAATTTTTTAACTTCTTCTGCCCAAGCAAGTTCATTACAAGTTTCTAACATGCTAGACAATTTCTTAGGAGAACCAAAACTAGCTAATTCACTGAGCAATAAGGAAGGAGGTGTTGAATCAGCACTAAAAAAATAATAAAATTGCAATAATTATAACAGTAGCAAACATTAAATAATGAATTTCAATAAAATGTATACATGCCCCATACTGTGGGATGGTTCTTTTGTAAAAGAACTGGATAAATTTTCTTTAGAAGAAATGTCAAGACTTTCTGTTTCATGACCTTCTCTTATACACTTGGATATTTCACTGAAATTAAATATAAGATCTTCATCAACTCAAAAACAACATTAAAATAATTATTTGATAATAAAAATACAATATCTGAAAATTCTTTACATGTTTTTGCTTCCTCATGCCAATTGTAGGGAAGTTGAGTTTGAGTTTTCTTTAAAATACCCCTCCATATAACAAACTGTTTACTTTTACTTGATTATTCATTTGTATGAATGTCAACGCGTATTAATCCTCTTCCAAACGATAATGTTTGTTAATGTCTATAGCATTTCGCTACTTATAAATAATTCAGTCTTTACTAAGATGCCAACGTGATATTTTCGTATAATTTTGTTTTACGAGTTTAAACTCGGCCAGAATGGGGCCCAGAAAGCCAGAAACATCAATCAAGTCTGGAGCAAGAGCAGCATTAATGAGTGCACTGTTCAACGGTAGTTCAAAAAACTTCGGGAGGGAGACTTCAGTCTTGAAAACAAAGAAGGTCGTGGAAGGACTTCCTCTCTTAATGAGGGTGTTCTGCGGGCTTTGGTGAAAGAAAACCCGAGAACAACTGTTCGAGAACTTGCAGTAACCTTAGCCTTAGCAAATCGACAGTCGATGACCACCTCAAGGCGATTGGAAAACGACCGCAAAAAAAAAAACAGTATTATGAAGATTTTGCTACACTTCTTAGCCGAAAAAAAAACGACCCTTTTCTGTCCAGAATTGTTACTTGTGAAATGAAATGAAATTAAAATAGATTTTTATTATCCCGGGACTGTTGACCCTTTAGGATAAATTATAGATACAGAGGAAATACTTGTGTGGCCATACAATTAAATTAAATATTTACAATTCTCATTAAAATTAAAATATTGGAAGAAAAATGAAACAAAAACACTAAATGCATATATAATACGCATATAAGATATATATAATACAAACATGTGAAAATAAATTAACATAAGTAAACAAAATCATTTCTGGGGGATCTTAAAAAGTTCTCTTATCTACCTTTCATAATCAATCAGGTTAGGAAAGAAGTAGGTGCTTAAAAAGGAGAGACTTCAATGAGGAAACTGATTGCGCATGTATCGGGAGGGATGGTAATCCAGATCGAGACGGCTTGAATTATAAAGGATTTGTCAAACGCAGCAGTTCGGCGAGGAGGTGGATAGAGGTCAGAAGTACGGGATCTAGTGTGACGGGATTGAATGAAATATTTAAATTGTAGGCTGTAAAAAATATAGGAAGGTCCCTGAGCTCTGATGGCTTGGTATAGAAAGGTAGCAAGGAAGTACAGACGGCGGTTGGATGTATAGAGCAACTTCATCTTGGTGTAATACTGGGTTCTATGTGTATCACTTGAGATTCCGAAAACAAATATTGCGCAGTTCATTAGGCGTTTAAGTTTGACCTCAAATTCTCCCGAGAGTACGCTGTACACCAGACAACCATAGTCGAAGTGGGGGAACACAAGGGAGGAAAATAGGAGTTGTCGGGATTTATATGGAAGTAGATAGCGGAGACGGTTAAACTGTTTCAGGGTAGAGATAGTACGACGGGAAATTTGTGAGATGTGTGGTTTCCAGGAGAGGGTTTGATCAAAGGTAACACCAAGGTGTTTTACGGAAGTATGGAATGAGATAGGTGAGTTGTTCAGGAAATGATTGAGGAGTGTCGGTAAGGATTTGAGGAGTGAGGGAGTTCCAATCAGGATGGTTGTCTTCTTCTCGGAGTTTAAAGTAATTCTATTGTGGTTTGCCCAGGCACAAATTCCGTTTATATCTTCCTATAATTTTTGGATGGCTTCAGAGGATGCGGTCGGATTGAAGGAGAGGAAAATCTGGACATCATCGGCATACAGATTTTATTGACAGTGAAGGATAGAGGATGGAAGGTCATTGATGTAGATGGAAAAAAGGGTGGGAGATAAGGAGGAACTTTGTGGGACAGCTCTGCACAAGGGTAAAGATTCTGATGGGGGGTTATTGGGGACTACAACATATTGGGAGCGGCCGGTAAGGAAGGATTGGAACCAATTAAGAGTACTAGTTAAAAAGGAGATATTTTAAAGCTTGGTTAGGGAAATTTTGAGGTCTACTGAGTCAAAGGCTTTGGAGAAGTCAAGAAGAATTAGAATGGTGGGTTTCTGCTGGTCCATGGCTGTATGAATGTCTTAGAAAATTTTGATGAGAGCAGATTGAGTGGAGTAGCTTATTCTGTTCTAAAAAGTCGGATAACTGGGTTTGAACTAGTCGCTCTAAAGGTTTGGAAAGGTTTGAGAGGAGAGAAATAGGACAGAAATCATTTAGAGTTGATGGATTGGAAGTCTTCTTCATAGGGAGAACTAGTGCGGTTTTCCAGGATGTAGGGAAGGTAGCGTTTCGTAGTGAGTAATTGTAGATATGATAAAGGACTGGAAGGATGGATGGTAGTGAGGCTTTGATCAGTCTGACTGGGATGTTATCGGGTCCTTAATCATTGGTTTGTGATTTCTGAATGGAGTTGAGGAGGTCATCAGGTGTAATATGTGATGAAAAGTAGATACTTTACGATAACAGTAGACATTCAGGACAGTGGACGACAAAAGAGAAGCAGCAGAAAAAAGGTTATTGTTTGGTGGGCTTCATTTGTTTTGATACACTACAACTTCTTAAATCCTGGAGAAACCATCAATACCGAATAGTATTGTAACCAAATGAATATAATGCATCAGAAATTGGCAATAATGAAGCCATCTTTGGTTAATCGGAAGGGACCCATTTTGTTATATCACTACGCCCGGCCATATGTTTCACGTGTGATGTCACAAAAACTATTGGAACTTGGTTATGAAACTCTCTACCATCCGCCCTGTTCTCCGGACCTTTCGCTTATGGATTATCATTTTTTCGGACACCTGGATTACTACATACGTGACAAAAAATTTAATGGACAAAGGGAATTAGAAAATTGCATTTTTTGGAGTTTATCAATTCTACAGATGGGAAATTCTATACCAAGGGAATGAAAAAGTTGCCAACACTTGGGCAGAAATGTATTGATAGTAGTGAAGACTATTTTAATAATACAGAAAGATAGAAATGTGGGCTAATGGGTTTCCCGTTACCTCCCTCAAGTTACTGGCCTAATATTCTTTAATTCAGCCGCCATTTTTTAATGCAGTGGCTCTGGAATGGCAGACAAAGTCCATTTTACTCAGCATAACATACACTTTAGTAATTTACATTCAAATCTTCGCCTGCGATCAGGTCGATTTTTGGGCCCTGGCCCCTGGGCTATGAGAAGTTGTACAATTAGGTAGTCGCTTTGGCTCCTTACATTAATATATTGAACAAGGGCCAATGAAGTACAGTTAGGATACTGTATATCTGTAGTGGATGATGTAAACATGTCCTCAAATTCAATCGAACTGCCACTGAATTGTTTGGGAAGTAACCTCTTAGGATATGAGTAGTAGGGGCTGTATGTGAATAGATGTGACAACTCTGAGAACATGAGATTATCGATTCTGTTATTGTATGAAATAAAGATATTGCATTAGATTCATTGGATGGGATGTTACTCAGTACTGCTGTCAGAAAGTCCTTTGGCTCTTGCTGGTAAAAGTAAATATATGTGGTACTAGTTTATCCCTTATTTGTCAACACCTAATGGTAACTCCTGAACAAAAAATAAATATGTATGAAAATACATATACGTATACACTTCACTATATAAAATTATAATTTTATTATTAAACTGAATTAACATTTCAACACCTCCAAAAATCGACCTGATCGTAGGCGAAGATTTGAATGTCAATTACTAAAGTGTATGTTATGCTGAGTAACATGGACCTTGTCTGCCATTCCAGAGCCGCTGCTTTCAAAAATGGTGGCTGAATTAAAGAATGTTAGGCAAGTAATTTTAAGGAGGTAACGGGAAATCCATTGCGAAAAATGTGAGTAAAGTTTTTATTTTTTGAACTTATATATTGTATATATAGGTTTAGACTGTTGATTTTATTAAGGGTTTATGGGTTTTCTTATTAAGTGTAAAACATTGAATAAACCACAAGCCTTTTTTAAACTAAGCAAAATCAATCTTTATTAAACTAACAACACAAGTTCATAGAAAGAACAGAGTTATAACTAAAACATGTGTTTTATATATTTCTTTTTTTTTTAATTCATATAATCTATATAACATATGATCGATATTAATAAAATTACTTTTAACATAGACATGTAAGCAACAAAATTGCTAATGCGGGCCACCGAGAGAAAAAATTTACAGCCAAAAAATTAAGATTTTTTCGATATGTTTTTGTTTTTTCATCTATAACTTCTAAATGATGCATCAAAGTGAAAAATTTAATCTTTAATGAATTTAAGAACATTAAATTGTGCGTCGAACAAGTACATAGACTTCATAATTTGGTTACGTGGTCAACTAACGCTGGTTTTTATCAAATTTGTCAAAAACTGAGACAAATTATTATAAATGATCCTATGACTTGGAAATAAGTTACTTTAGAGGAAAACCCATAGAATCAAAGTTATATTGCATCCACTGACTACTGACATTTTTATTGTAGGCCAATTATATATCTCGAATCAGGATTCGTTATTTCTTTATGTAATTAGGTATCTTTCGACACATCGTTTATCAAAATCCTTCGCTGCTGACATGTAGAAAAGAGGCTTATACTGCAGTCATAGCACATGAAGGTAAGACCATATTCTGTGGGTATCACACAGCCACTGCCATGTGTCATAATGGGAGTTGAGTACTCTGCAATGATACCTCTATTTACACAGCCTCATTTTACACTCCACTATACTAGCAAATGCTTAAATTTTGATTTTAATGACATTTTAACTGTTGTAAACCTTCTTATATTATTTAAATCCCAAATCTATTTTATATATTTGAATAGCTTCATAAAGAAAGGGACTCCTTTTCTTCAGAGAGACACTTGGAATGAATGCCTTTCTTTATTGAGCTATTAATTTATAGTTTGCTAAATTTACACGTAGTTTTCTATGATAATTCTTATTTAAGGAATTTCCATATTTAAAGAAAACTAACATTGAATTCAGATAGTTTAATTTAAACAACAGTGATGTTTAAAAATGTTAAAGAGGGGCACAATTTTTATCCAAAATACGTCAATATAAACAATAAAAATCTTAGATTTGTTTTTAAATAAAATATTTTTTCATCCAATATAATTGGTGAGGAAACTATGGTACATTGGCTTACTTGAAAGACGTTTTTTGGTTAATGTAGGATTATAATCCTATATTTAGTGCTGAAAATATTATACAAAGGACCAATTGTGTATCCATAATATCTAATCTAGTTATCATTATTTCGCAAGCTAAATTTAATTAAATATACAGAAATGAAAGTGAAAAAAAAACATAGTAAAGTCTTTCTAATAGAAAAAGTATCACATGTTTAATATTAGATAAACAAATTTTTCAGATCTGAATATAGCATGAATAAATAAAAATGATATTATACCTATGACGATTTTTCATTTCTGTGAACCATACATTTTGTCGTTCACCTGTAACATATCAATAAATATAAATCAAATACTGAACTAAATAAAATGAAACAAATGTTTAAGAAAAGAAACAAATCATTAAATACTATACAGAATATAAAAAAACGGCTTAATTAATGGGCCTATGTCCAATATTGTTCTGATATTATTTGATCATTTGAGCATTGCTAGCAATTTAGGGTTAAAAAAATATCAACCTTTTAAAGAAAAAAAATTTAAAGCCCTTTTCAGTTATATGAAATTAACATTGTAGTTAGAACAGATGGTAACAAAGTATTTGAGATAACTGAAAAAAGTACTTATGATTTGAAGTACCATTATATAACAGTGAAATTTTCCATGGTTAAGTATCAATTGATACAGATTGTTACATTTCAAAGCATGAAAAACTTTGAATCCTCGTATTATGGACAGTAACACTTTTTACTTCACATAGAGATATTTCTTCTAGAGGTTGAGATAGATTTATTTTAATGTTACGATTTCATTCCTTTGATAACTAGAAAGAGGACACTCAGATTGCCAAGAGTAATTAAATAGATTCAGGCAGAGCTACGCAGAAGGAAGCCCCCCTACAGTTGGCCATCAAGTAGGTAAATCCAAAATAAAATAGTTCTTTTTAAATTGATCTATAGGATTCGTGGATTTCCATTATATCATTTCAAAGAACTCCATCAACTACTATGGCTAGTCTCAACTTTTATAACTAACCTCAGGATAATTTAAGGCATCTTATTTATTAAAAATAAAATGAAAAAGAGATTAATTTCAGAAATTTTGATATTAGTTGAAGAAATGGATTTGTTTAGGTATTTTATACAGGTCATAAACAATCAGCTTTGCAATTCTGAGAGATTTGGGAGGATCAGTTTCATTGATTCTGGATGTAACTTTATGCGTACAATAGCCTCCATTATAGGGAATATTAGATCTTCAGTCTTACAATGGTACATCGTTAGTGGGACTCATTATATTTAATCCGCAAATGGTATGGTGGGGTCATATCAAATCTAACAATTTTCCTCCTCCCTCAATCTCCTTTCTCTTGCAAAAGATTGAGCCAACAAGAAATCTTAGCAGCAATTCTAATGTTGGATCATTTGCAATTAAGAGGTGAGTGACATTAGTTTGTTAATTTCAATTTTCTTGTGAGCTCTTTCATTTTGGGTCAATTCTGACCCAACTTTTCCGTACAACTTGATAAAATGAAATATGTATTTATGAATCCTAAATTAACAAAAAAAAATTGAATCTTTATTTTTGAAATTAATAGTAACAAATCTAAACAGAGAAATAAAACAAAATAACTTACTTAAGCCTAGTTGAGTTTCTCTTTCTTCTATTTCTGCTAATGCCTCTGACAACTAGATAAACGAAAAATAAATATTATAAATAACTTTTGTAGTCTAAATAATAAAACATTAAAAACTTTGAATAATGGCTACTCAAAAATATGATATTTTTAAGAGCACACTATCACCATAAAAAAACATACTTTTATACCTTTAGTTTTGCTGATAATAAACATAGAAAACGTACATAAAAAGTTTAGTTACATGAAGTAAATAAAGAAATAACCTACAGGATATTTTTTTTTATTGGCAGGAGATATTTCAGAAGCATGTAATGGGAAAAAATAATAATAAAAAACAGTGTGTATGTAGACTTATATAATTGTTGATTTATGTAATTAAATTCATTTTAAAAAGACAGAGACATTTTGGGGTCTTTCTACCACCATTAGACTGCAACATTTTCTACAATACATAAAAAAATATGTAATTATTTAGTAATTAATTTCTCCATACTTAGTCTAAACATAAAAATATTTAAAACAATAAATGACCTTGATTTAATCATCATTCTACGTACACTATACTTATTCAACTAAATCATTTATATTAAAATTTCATTATTGTTTGTAAAAATGTCTTTAATAAAATAATTTATACATAGAGAGGGTTATATTAGGTGATTCTGATCTCTTTCCTGGTTCTACTGATCAAGGTTACATTAAATGCCCTTTGAACTTGTTTGTGAAGATGGAATTGATCCATTCCATTCTCTTAATAACAACTCCTTATTTCTCATGCATTTAGTTCTTAATTTATAATAAAATTATTTTAATTTTATAACTATGATCAATTTGAGCTGTACACAGTAATTTATTATATGACTAATTTAATAGTAAAAAAAAAGATTTATGATAGTAAAAAGACTAAATTAAAGTGAAAAGCGGTAGTGGAAAAAGCCAGAACTCATCAAACATTGGTAGCATCTATTACTCATAGAGAAAATTTAAAATACATCAAACAGATATTTCTCTTTTAGTGAAGTAAATAAAAATTACTCTGACCTTAAAAGACAGTCTTTCATTGTCTATTTCTAACTGTCGGCATGATTTTTCAAGAGGAATAACACGATCAGACAATTCTGCAACTTCTCTTTTCAAACATTCTTTTTCAAAAGAAACCTGAAATGAAAAATAAAAACAACCAGTGTCATTAAGATAATTATGTTTTTTATAAGTATAAAATGCAACCAGCAAACCACCAAAATTTGACTCATTCCAATCAAACTTATATAAATATTAACAATTTTGAAAACAAAACTCCTTCTAAACTAAATGAACATACAATTTGGAATTAAAATAGTATATTAATGCAAAAAAATTCAATATTCATTTTTTAAAAAATCAGATTTCATTTGATTTTTTTTTTTAAATGCAGCAAAGTGAGGATTAAGAAGACAGAGACCTAGTAACTGCTTTGGTAAGGAGGAGGGAGTGCTGTCTGTGCCCATAGTGGAGGGCACAGTGAAACTTTTATTAAAATACATTTTATAAAACCATTACTGGGAATATGAAGAATTAGCAATATAATGATATAGAGTTGGTTGACCGTTGATATGATATGAGAAGGAATTAGTCGAGGGTGCGGTCAAAAAATAAAAAAAATTAAAATATATAAAAATATAAAGGGCAAAAATTAAAATTATTTATATATTTTAATTTTTTTTATTTTTTGACCGCACCCTCGACTAATTCCTTCTCATAAATTAGCAATATATTTTATTATACCAAATCAATTTCTAAACTTCATTAATTTCTTAAAGGACAATTTCATTTGTTATAATTACATTTTATTTTACATATGTTTGTAAATAAAAAGTAAATTTTAGAAATCAATTCTAAACATTTGTGTTAGGGGGCACATAAAGAGTAGGTTCATCTAAGCGTAAGAGTAGGTTCATCTCAGCAACTTGGCAACACTGGGTGGAGAACTAGTGGTCTAAGCAGGACAGGAAATGTTGCAAGCTGTTACCCTGATGTGTTGACAAAGTGAACAGTAATTGTGTTATTAATAAAAAAAAACTAGATTTTCTCAAGATATAAGTTGTAAATCATGTTTTGTGTGCTTTTATAATATTTTAATAGTTAGTAACATATGCTTATTCAGAAATCATGTGTTATTAACTCAGTCACCCCTTCAAAATTGGTGTCAGGTGTGGGGGGGAGGGGGTGCTGCAACACTCTCTCGGGTCTCTCGTACCTATTTACGCTTCCAGCGCTTTAGTTCAAACTTCGTCGGATAACCGTTAGAGATGAAGCCACCTACACATCTCTTCTCTCTCTCCCTCCCTTGTAACGACTTTTATTCTCCCTGCGACACTTAAGGAGACAGGTAGTACTTCTTTTATTTCTTTCTTATTTCAGCTTTCTCTAATTTCTTCCCTCCTTCCTTTCATTCCTTTTCTCTGTTTTTAACTCTTTATTATATTAACATTGTCTGTACATCTTTACAATAGCTCAATTTTTCTATCTACTACTCCATTCTCAATGTTTTAATTTTACTATTTATTTTCATTTCTTATATAACTTCATCATATTTCTTTTTTATGTTTTTACATTTTATTCTAAGATTCCCATTGTAACACTTTTTGATCATGCCTACTTCATCATTCCACACTTTGTAACGGTTTTATTATTTATCTCTTAGTTCTTAGTCATTATTCTAACAATTTCGTTTTACTTTATATTTTTCTATTTTATTTTTCTAATTTTTTTATTTTATTTTTTTATTTTTTATTATCTTTTCTTTTTTACCATCATTACTTATGTTTCTCATACCTTGTTATCTGCTTATTTTCTTAGCCCTGATGAAGGCCTGAACTTCAGGTCGAAACGTCGGCATATGTAAAAAATAAATATTATCATTTATTTTTGCCTTCCTTTTTGACTGACCACCCCAACTATTCTTCTCTTCATTATCCACGACAGTCAACCAATTACCAATTATGAACTTTATATTTAGTATTAATTTCGATAAAATTGCATAGTTTCGGAGTAATGCCCAAAACCTAAAAAAATCTGGACTTTTGCTGTTTTTTTTTTCATATATCTCAGAACGCAATAGAAAAATTCGTTCGGGGACATCAAATTCAGATTCAGCATGTCATAAAACATAAAAAACTGAAGAGAAATCGATTATTTGAATTTTTTCCTCATACAACTACCATCGAACTGGCCTAATTTGATGGATTTGACGTCGACAGTTTTCAAAACGCAACCGAGTACATCATCAGTCATGGTGAATTCTCTTTTAGAGACATATTCATAACATCATATCAAAATTTCAGTCGTCAGTTCTTCCGTTAAATGAACCATCAAATTTTGACTCTTTAATTTAAATGTTCGTATAAAAAGCAACCGCTTTGGAATGACTAACCAAAGTTTTGTGTTCAGATGAGGTTTATCTAGGATTTAAAATGGTTACTAGCTTAAAGTCCTTCCTTTAAATGAAATGGTCGGTAGCCTAGTCTATGACAGGAGTATAAGCACGAGAATCCCTTTTCCTTCTATTTGAACAATGTATCTTGCAAAAAATATTTGATCCTATAAATAGTAATGGTGTGTGGAGGACACGAACAAAACTAGAATTAGGGGAGCTGTATAACAATCCTAAAATTATTAAAGTTATCAAGATTGGTGGTCTCCATTGGGTTGGCCATATTGCAAGTATGACACCAGGTCAGAAGATTCCTTGAAAGATGCTAAATAAAGAATCTCTGCTACCAGAAATGTGGGAAGAACGAAGTTGCGATAGATGGATGGTGTGTCAGCTGATGCGAGATTCATCCTGGATACTCTTAACGTAGGGCATCAGCAATCAACAGAGATGACTGGCATACCAAATTGAGGGAGATCCTGACTCTGCACGAGTTTTACCCTCAACAAGAAAAAGAACGATTCATACTTAAGTTTTGAACTCAGGAAGTTGATCCTTCCAGTGTAAAGTTTCCTTCTACCAACAGCGAAGTCTGAAGACTGATCTCTTCATTTGTCTGAGTCGACCAAATAACAAGGATCACATAGCTAATTCTGAAAGGAATAGAGTTAAGATTTACTCTCTCGGTGATGAGAAGAAAAAATGAGTAGTTGTGTGTCTAGTCAGAGACACATTAAGAAGCAGCAAAGATGAATGATTGTAAGACTGTCGAAGGTCTGTTTATAAAATACAGCTTTTGACAGATTTTGAGAACAACTGCTAATAACACAAAATATTTTACTTAAAGCCTGATATCTTTCAGACCAAATTTGTATTTGTATAAGTATCATACATCGATATTTATATAAAAGATATATATTTTTTTTCATAGAGAAATAAATTATGAAAAATAATAATACATCTGTAGTGTGAGTGTTGGTATTAGATATTTTATAGAAAAAAATAGGGATAAAAAGTTGAATATCTTACCTTGATCATTTCTGCAAGAATGTCAGTATCAGGGTCTATATTCCCATTAGCTGAAAGTTGAAGAGCCTTTAAAGTTTCAAAATTCTTTTCAGCTTGATTTCTTTCTTCTAACAATTTATAGACCTATGAACAAGTTTTTAAAATGTAAAACAACAATATCTTAAAATGAAATAAATAAACAGGTGAGGAATTAATTAATATATAAACATGCTTAAATAGGAAAATTAGTTTATTTTTGTTTATTTTGATTTTTGAATGTTCATACTGCTTCTTCCCTTGAATTTATGTTATGTTTGCTAGAAGGGTTTGTTGACATGTTAAATTGGTTTCCCATTGAATTTAGTGAGCGAAACGAGACGTTGCACCTCCATGACTTTCCTGTTATTCTGTTTTTATAAAAAAAGTGATTCTGAAAATAGTGATTCTCTATTAGTGATTCTCTAAAAGTGAGTGATTCTCAGAAAATAACCACAGAAAGGATGAGTGTGTGCATGCCTCTATATAGACAGAAAATTTATGAAAATTTGTGTTTCACATGCTATCTACATCTCTTTTTCATTTTCTGATCACATTTCTGATCACATTTCATTTTCTAACCACCACTTCTTCCATCTTTTCTGTTTATTATATATATAGATTTTTATATATTTTTTGTTGGATTGGATTACACTAGCCAACAGTAAAAATGCTTCCGCAATGAACTTAGCAAATTTATATTCCATTTTGGTTCCAAAAAAATAATTTTACTTATAAAAGTTTTTTTGGATCACATTTTGAGGATATAATATAATTTAATTATATTTATAAGACTTTTTGGGTTTAATTGGTAATATTTTTTAAGCAGTTGACAACCTGCCTTTGATAGATGTTATTGTCAATCAAGGTTAGGTTTTGGCTAACCACACTATGGGGTTTGTGAAAGATAGTGATACTTAATTTATCATAAATTGTTAATTGAAGTTATGAAAATTCCTCTCAAATGCGTTAATACTACTTCATATAATACACCTCACTTTTATTTTAATAAATGTTTAGTGAAGCTTTGTAGATGGTTAGGTGAAAAGAAATATTCAATGAACTTTAGAATGCCAATGACATGGTCTGAACTAACAAAACAGATAAATCACAGCTATTTCTCCATAACATTACCTTTACATCAAGGAGTATAAAAAAAAAAAAAAAAAAAAAAAAAAAAAAAAAAAAAAAAAAAAAAAAAAAAAAAAAAAAAAAAGAGGACTGCAGAACATCATAATATTCCATCAGTTCTTCAAATCATCTGACATGATGGGCTTCCTGTGCATAACCCTCCAAGACTATCAACTGTTTTCTGATCACAATGAAGCTAGATGTCTTATGCCATATTTTAAGAAAGGGGTATTCCAGACCAAGTGCACAAGTGACAAACAAAAAGAAACCATTCAGAGGATAATAAATAAACTATTTTACAGACAATACGAACATTTCATCTACTGACTTTCTGATATTTAACAATTTATATATTTCATAAACAATCCTGATGTAAAGACATTAAATATCTAAACGTTATTTTTTGTTTTGGATATTGTAGTTTAATATATACTAAAAACTGTATATAAATAAAATAGGAGCTAAGAAAAATTTCTGATTATTATATTCTTTTTTCTTACCCCATGAGCATTCAAAATCAACTATTTTTGATCCAACAGCAAAACATTTTTTTTTTTTTGGCTAGTGCTATTGGACTGTTCAGACTACCGAAGTTCAGATTAATGAGATTGCTTTGTATTAGTTATAAAGTTAATAAGCTGTATGAGTTATGCTTGCATTAGCTGTACCCGTTTCCGGTGACTGCCTGGAATCAGGGTAGCTATAATCAAGTCAGTCAGCACTCTCTTGGCATTATGGGCAGTACTTCTCAACATTAGTTACTGAAAAGGGCTTCACATGATTAAGGACTTTTCTGCACCCATTCATTACATCTCAGCAGAATCTTGTTTGATTTGATTCAATTTAATTAATGGAACTTAAAAATAATTTAATGGAACTGTTGCTCAATAACTTCTCAATTGTTTTAATGATTACTTGAGGTTGAAGACTTGTCCCAAGGATGGTTTTAATTTATTTATTCAATTGTTCCACTAACAAATATGAGAAATAAATTGCTGTAAACAATAGATGCCTAAACATAATAATATAGTGACAGTTTAAATAGTAATAACCCATATTTTTTTTTTAATGTTAATACCATCTAAAATACAAAATAACCTTTAAAAAAATAACCTATAAAATTTTCAATCTCATTTCACACAGAAAATTTCAAGGAAGAGGGTCAAAATGATAATAAATTGTTTTAAACCACAATAAAGTTCCATACTTTTTTTTTACTTCACCTTCTGCTTTAACTTTCAAAATTATATTTTCATACAAATTTGTTTCTGACCTTCGTTGAACAAAAATTGAATATAACCTAGAGAAGTTGGTACATGATCCTTTTTCTGCCATGGACACTAACACAATAAATTCATACTTATTAAACAGTTTGTGTGGTAAACTTACTTCCACAGCTATGAAGTTGTCATGGCAAGTACAGCAATGGGGCATTTTTCTCTAATCAATTTATTACACAATGCTTTTAGTGACTTAAATTATTATGAACGCTGTACTGCACTTTGTGGACACTATTCCTCTAAGAGATTTTTTCGGGATAGTAGATTTGGTCATTGAGATTAGCTCTAATAACCCTTCCCAGAGATATATTGAACATTATTTATGGCATAAAATAATAATCCCAATGTAATCATCATTACTACAAATTTACAATGACAGATTACAGAGTCTCCAAAGAAATAGGGGGTTCCTTCAAGTAGAAGGTTCACTAAGGCTAATGTATCAAATTCTCTATAAAACCTCTTCATATCATTAAATCGACATTCATGCATTTATATTTTAATAATAATTTTGAATTAATGTTAAAGTAAAAGGGTTTTTTATAATAACAATAAGCAATCTAATATTATTTACAAAGATGTAATGACTTAAGAGGTATAATTAAATCAAGAAACACCATACTTTATCACATAAGCTGGAACCCATGATATTTGCAGACTGTAAAAGACAATCTAATTTTTCTCTTTCTTGGTACAAACTTATTTTTTCACTTTCTAGATCATCAGTTCTCTTCTCTGCTAATTTACGAATTTTTCCAAGATAATTTTCCATTTCCTGAAATACGTAAAACAAAAATTGTCAACACACATTATTTAAGGTTTCAAAAAATTATCCTTGAACTAAATACAATATTGAGAGTAACTAAATATAAAAATAGTACCCTCATAATAAATTACATTAAGTTCTAAAAACATTTATAGTTCTAAGATTTCAACCAGGAATTATGAATTATACGTTGAAATCTATGTTACTAAGAATTTAAAATTGAGAGCAAATTGAGTATTTCAAATCAGTTTATAAAAAATATTATTTAGAAATGTTTAAACTTTACTAAACCATTTTTATTATTTAAATGTTTTATTTACTTCAATTAAAAATCTTTTAAAAAAGAAAAATTATTGCCAGACTTAAGCGTTGCTATTTCCAAAGGACTGTTTAGACTAGCATCCAATTTATCATAAATGTGATAAACAAACAAAAGAGCAGCTACCACTTACATGTTGGTCATAATATGGGCGTGTTTCAAGCACTGAAGATATTCAAGTACTGACTATTAGGTCAGTATTTAGAATACCTTCAGCTCTCGAAACACGCCCTGATGATGACCCACATGTTTGAGTTAAAACGTTGGCACCAATAAAAACTTTATAATGACTGCATTCTGAATATTTATCACCCTTAATTAACTACAGAACAATAAATTAGAAAATTAATTTTATGAACAAGTAAACTTGGACATTATTAGGGTCCTCATTAAAACTAATATTGAATAAAATAAATGAAATCCCATTAGAGTTGTATTCCAGATGAAATAAAGTTAGATAATAAACAATAGAAATAAGATAGAGAGAGAGAGAGAGAGAGAGAGAGAGAGAGAGAGAGGGGGAGAGGGAGAGAGGGGGGGGGAGAGAGAGGGGGAGAGAGAGAGAGAGAGAGAGAGAGAGAGAGAGAAGAGAGAGAGAGAGAGAGGAGAGAGAGAGAGAGAGAGAGAGAGAGAGAGAGAGAGAGAGAGTGAGAGAGAGGAGAGAGAGAGATGACCGATTAGAAGGGGTTGTCCATTCGGAATGGCAAACACTACAGGCTGATTGACCCACGGATTCTTACCAGATGTACAGAAAAGGATAGAGAATTCCTGGTTCGAGAAGGACTTCTGAACGGTGTAGCTGCTAGGGGCCATGACAACATAAAAATGAAGCTAAACTTTTCACAGAAGGGAAGACACAAATTTTAGCTGTGGTGCAGTGCAGGAGGAGGTGAAACATAATATTCTATTGCTCGCTATACACAAACCCTTGACTGGCTCTGGCTGGGGAGTTTTCTTTATTGGAGTGGCCTCCTCGATTCCTGGACAAACTTGTGGCGACACCTTAGATATTTGGAGCCTTCAAGTAATATGCGAAGAAGATATTCCTGGAGAGTATGGCAGGAGAGGCAACAACTGTGATGAATCATATGTACGGATATTAGAATAATATTGTTATTGTTATTTTTAAGGTTAAGTAGTGGCAACAAGTGTAATGTAAAATATTACATTAGTGTTATTGTTATTTTGAAATTTATGGACAATGTTTTTCAAAATTCAGTAAAAATAACTATGTCATGATAGGATATTTATTCTTGCTATAAAAAAAAAAATTAAAGCTGAAATAAAATTTCTCTATTCTGTTCTGAATTATGAAGATATAAATCATGTTATGTTATATCCTGAAAAAATCAGGTTTTTTAATCTTCTCACTTTGGTTTCAAATTGTTGAATTAAGCAGTGTTTCAAAAGTCTCAGCAACTAACTCATCATACAATGAATCTTCATGGGGTTATCATTTGTCCAAAATGCTGCTTTTTATTCTCTTTGAATTCTGGGTAATCTGTAATTCAAAAGAGGTGTTTTAAGCACCATACTGAAAACAATAGCCATGTTCTTACTGAAAGGCAACAGTATAACTATGTTACCAATATTACTAATTAATCTAGTATCTCAAAACATTTAAAACACTATAGAATTAAATGAATGTTAACATATTGATGACAAACATACGCAATAAATAAAAATAAATTATAGTTTCCTAATACAGTTACTAACAATTTTTCATTTGAAATAAATATTTAACTTTTTTTTAAATTCTTCTATTCAAAATTTAGGCCTGATAAAGCAAATGCTACTTATAATAA